ATGTCAGACTAACTGGGCGATAATTGTTGGGATCCTCTTTTTTCCCCTAAAGAGATAGTAGTTCAAACCCATGAAAGCTGCTAATGAATTCATGTCCTACTGGGTGTGACAGCTTATGAATGAGTGATTCTCAGTTAAGAAGTGACAGCAGAACCAATCCACTGCCGCATTCTATCCTCGTTTCATAACCAAATGAAACTGCTCAAATTTCATAACCATGCAAATAGCATGACCCACCAAGGCCTTTTCCCAACCTCTGAGACCTCTGATCACCAGTTTTGTTTTTAATGGAAAATTAGACATCCAGAGCCTTCTGAGAGATGTGATTCTTAACTAAAAGGGAAGTGGAGGGGAGGAAAAGCAGCCTTACTCACACTTTGTGTTAACCCCTATACCCATTTTTAGAAACAGCAAGTAGCTGGTGTGCCCTGTAGTGGATCAAAGCAATGGGAAAGATCCCTTAGACTCTCAGTGGTTGCCCACCTCTGTCATGCAAGTCTCCTTCTTATGATGGGGGAAAGTGCAACAGCACATCTTGAAGTGTGCTGCCTTGTTGCTTCATGAACATGGAGGACATAGGAAAGCATAGTCCCACTATTTTGTCAGATGCCACCTGTGATCCATTCTAGGCACCACCATTCAGGAAGGATATTGACAAGCTGTAGCATGCCCAGACAAGGATGATCAAGATGATCAAAGGTCTGGAAACCAGGCCTTATCAGGTTAAAGGAGCTGGGTATGTTTAACCTGGAGAAGAGACGATTGAGAAGTGATATGATAGCCATCTTCAAATATCTGAAGATGGAGCAATGGATTCACATGACAAGAAAAGAGATTCCAATGAAACAATTAGGAATAACATCCTGACAATAAGACCTGTTCAACAGTGGAATTGACTGCTTCAGGAAAGTAATGGACTCTCCATCACTAAAGGGCCTTCAACAGACATTGCCAGATGGGCATCTTTTGGAAGTGCTTTAGTTGTGTATTCCTCGTGGGAGAGGGTTGGATTAGATGGCCATTGAGATCTTTTCCACTTCTCTGATTCTGTAATTCTTCTTTAGCATGAATAACCAAAGGACTCAAGGGCTACCTCTGTCAACAATACTGTGGCTTCATCCTAGGACTGCTCGACATCCTTGGAGCATTTCTTTCTTGGTCTAGCCTCAGTGGTTTAGGCAGTAAAAACACATAGTTATGACTGCATCTGACGAAAATAAGCCTTAAGCACCTCTGAGCAGTAACGTAGTCTGCTGCCACTGCATTTCCAGTTCTGTGTGTCAGTATTTAAAAGCTCCACTAAGCACAACATGGTTCGGAG